ATCCTGCATGCGCTTATTCGCTGATGATTGCAATATATATCGCCTAATTAACAGTTCCGCCGACCACATTTCCCTTCAAGATGACCTCAACTTAATTACCGATTGGTGTGACACATGGCTAATGCACTTGAACTCAACGAATTACAAAGTAATGTCGTTTAGCAGGAAGCATTCGAAATCCAACTTTTTATTTCTTACAGTATAAAAACCAGCCCATTACCCGAGACTCTTTTAAATATCTAGGCATCACTTTTACTCCAAACCTTTCTTGCACTACCCATATTAATAAGGTATGTGCCAATACTGCCAAACCATCAGGGTACTTACGCCGCAACCTTCGAAGCTCGCCCTCTTTCATTCGCAAGCTTGCTTTTCAAACATTCGTCCTCCAACAACTTGAGTTTTCTTCTCCTACCAGGTCTCCTCATCAAAAATATTTGATAACTGCTTTAGAATCAACACAAAACAGAGCCGCTCGTTTCATTGTTCAAAACTATATTTATCGTTCAAACGTGACACAAATAAAACTTTCTCTTTCCCTAGAGCTGTTAAGTGATCGTCGTGATATAGCCTTGTTGTCATTATTTCATAAATACGTGTACCAGCTTGACCATCATGTATTGGACCTGCATACATCAACACACGCATCTTGTAGAATACATAATAATCTAAGTTTCACGCGACCTTACGGTTGTACTGACGCCTTCAACTATTCCGCACTTCCACGAGCCATACGCCTATGGAATAGCTTACCTGATGATATAGTGGCGGAAACTAACTCGGCAAAATTCAGGCAATCTCTCAACGTGCATATCTCCGGCAGACTACATTCTGCCTAACATGTCACACGTAATAATCAGTGCTTTTGTTTGGGTGTTTGGGAGTTTTGTGAGCAATGGATTACAAGTTATAGTCTTTCTCCCCCCCTTTTTTTTTGCCCAAAGTATTCATTGAATCACTTGTACTACTGTTGGTATTTTATTATACCTTATAATATACAACACAACTTGTATTTCACTTTTTATTGTTACTCTTTCTGCTGATTCTTGTATCATTCACCCTTTGTAGAATTTTGATCGTATTAACTATATGTTTCACATTGTTCTGTTCTTGCATATCATATTTTGCTTCTTCATGTGAATTTGGGTTTATACCTTTGGTGTATAAAGATTTTTGTAAAGCCCCCCTTACTCAATGCCCATGTGGCCAGAAAGGTATTTCAAATGAATAAATAAATTCAAGGTGATGATAATTTTTGATAACACACTGGTGATAACATATGAGTGCTTACTGGGGAATTGAATTTTTTTCGTTAGATCAGGAACTTCATATTACCAAGCTGATCAAGTTTTAACTCAACCATATGGCTGACGTAATTAGTGAGCTTGTTGTGGAAAAATTGACCGAGTCTCAATCTCGAGGGTGCCATTATTACACGAGATAAAATTTTTGGCTGAAGAATCAAGGTAAAGGTCTGAATGCTAATGATGACAACCATAATCTAACCAATCAATCAGGCTGAACCTGACCTACATTTGCATGAGAGGACATGTAGCCTTCGCTTTGCAGGATCTACATCATAAAAAAAAGCATGGCATGTGTGTGTGGAGGATCACAAATCTTTGAGAGAAAAGGGAAGCTGCCCTTTTTATATATTTCATTGACCTATTTATATATAGTGCCAATGCCAGAGGGACCATAGCAGTAGGGCGTATACAGTTACTCAATAGAAATTTGAAAAATTGTGATACAATCACAACAGTGAGTAATAACAAATAATAGTGATTGGTAGTATGTGAGTAAGGGGAAAACAGGCTCTCGGTACGTCATTGTGAGAACAAAATAAAGGCGGGAACAAAAAAAAAAGCTTGTGAGACCATAATGTAAAAATTTTACAAAATGGAGCTAAAGTGCAGGCAAAAAGGAATAAAAGAAAAAAAGAGGCACTTGAAACAGAGAGGCCGACAGGTATATAGCCTCACTTGTCAATAAGAGGTAAAAAGAACAACAAAAAATTAACAGGAAAATAACTATCTAGCAATATTTAGGTTTCGCTTAAAGTGCATTTAAAAACTGCGTTAATGATGTGCTTTTTATTGTGTGTAAGGGGAGGTTATACTTCATACTCTTACGACCAATGGAAAAAATAAATTTTTGACAAAGTCGGTATAAAAGGTATGTTCTGTGAGCATCTATGCCTGATTGGTCGTGTTTTCAAGTTTACGAGATGAGTGAGATCAATATTCACTTTATTATGAATAAGGAAGTACATGAACTTGAATCTAGCTATTTTGGCTCGGCGCTGAAGGGAATATACACCAGCACTTTTCATCAACGCAGTAGGTGAATCATGTGGCCCGTATTTGTTAAAAATGAACCTGCTTGCCTTTCCCTGTACGCCTTCAAGTTGAGAGACGTTCAGGAAAAAGAAACCAAGCGACATTTGCATATTCTAGTATCGGTCCCATAAATGCGTTATAGGCCAACAATTTGGTATCTATAAAGGCTAATCGAAGAGGTGACAGATGACAAAAGTGTCGTTGGAGCGTGGTCACTGTTATGTGATTTATGTGATGAATCCATCTAAGGTCCTCAGATATAGCTAACCCCAGGTATTTATGTTCATTATTGACACTTAATACCATGTCATTAATTTTATATGGGAATAATGATTTATTCTTTTTTCTCGAGAAAATGAGTAGGGTTGATTTTCTAGCAATTAATGTCATTTGCCATTCGGAGCACCATTTGATTACTGTTTGTAAAGCGTAGTCAATGTGACCTTCATGCGTATTAATCACATTACTGATAATGCAGTCATCTGCGAATAATCTGATGTTGACATGTTTGTTAGCAGGTAGGTTATTCATGAATATTTATTAAAAAACGGAGCCAGAATAAAACCTAGTGGAATACCGGATATCACTTCGGCAGTACCAGGCCACTGGCCATCAATTTCAACTAACTGTAAACGATCACTAAGTAATGATATATCCACTCAGTGATGGGGCAGTCCCCTAGTATTAGGTTCAAAAATTTGTTTCTGATAAGTCACTCGGTCGAAGGCTCTTGAGAAATCTAATAGCATAAGGTCAATTTGTTTTCTCGAATCAATGCCCAGGAACAAGTTGTGAACAAGTTCCTAAAGTTGAGTAACCGTAGACAATCCCCGGCGAAAGCTATCTTGGAAGGGCGTTAGCATAGATTCAGCGTCAAGAAAGGAAGTTATGTGGTTGAGGATAATGTGTTTCAGTATTATAGAAGCTGTCCATGTTATATAGATAGGCCTAAAATCAGCTGCGTCCCACCTTTCCCAGATTTGTGTATGGAGATGATTCTTGCCGTATTCCATTTTTTTGAAAGCCTACCAATTGATAATGATTCCTAAAAGACTAAACATAGATACCTGGCAGCCCATTCAGCATATCTCCTCAGAAATGTGTTGGGAATATTATCAGGCCCAGATCACTCCTTGGCCTCAATTAGGGAGAAGATTAGGGAAACTTGACCTCGTGATTGTAATAGGTTTGATGTGCCTATTAGCAGACGCATCCATATGAGGAATACTGCCATTATCCCTTGTGAAGACTGATTGAAAATAAGTATTTAGAGCATTTGCCTTAGCTGGGTTTTCGCAGGGGAACTTGTTTTTTCATTTGATGACATAGAATTGAGGTACTTCCAGAATTTTGTAGATGATGTTTTTATGAATATATTCAGCTTGTGAGAAACGAAATAATCTTTTGCAGTATTTAGAGTTTCTTTCAGACTAATTATGGCATTATCAAGGTTGTTTTTTGTTGACGTAGAAAATTTTTTCTTGAGCGATTTGTGTAGTCCTTGACTTTTCGTTTTGCGTGAATGATGTCACGCGTTATCCATGGGCTGCATTTCTTTCTATTTTTTGTTTTTGTGGGTATGAACTTGTGAATACACAGCCACACAATATTTTTGAACACATCATCATGTTTCAACATCAGTTGAGACGTGGCAAGAAATTTCATTGAAGGAGGATAGTTCATGTCATATATGATCAATAATGCCAGTATCATCAGCATTGTGGAAGTTAGAAAAGGATTTCATCACCAAACCTTTCGAACTATTGTTATTGACAGGTATACTACAGGTCACTACCTTATGGCCGGATATTTCGTCGGTTACCTCTATTTTTATGCCCTCAAGGGGAAAGTGACTATTAAAGGGCCACTCACCACGTTTGACAATTTTGAGCTGACAAGCACAATGCGTAGATGAGGCGTTCATGATCACGTCAGCCAAAATTAGCAAAGCTACACACCACGGATATGGGTCGAATTTCAAGATGAACGCTGCTCCTCCTCCGTTCTTCTGGCGCGCGCCCAGAGAATGAGGGCATGACGTGCGCATATGAGTGGCCCTACATACACGGCAATGCAGTGACGTTGGTCCTCTATGTAGACGACTATGCTCTGACGCTGCCAAGAGTGGCACGTGACATGGCGAAAATTATTTAACACGGCATGCGTAGTTTATATAATTTGTTGCTCAAAGAGATTAATAAAACTCTAGATAAATAATGAGACGCAATAAAAGAATGTGAGCGTCTTTTTTTTTCATTTTTTTCCCGTGAATTGGAACGAGATGCAGGGATAATGTGTCGGAGTTTCGCATACGTTCGTGTCCCCGCGGTTCCACGGTCAGGTCTAGTATATTGCCAAAATCAGGTCTAGTATATTGCCACTAGACCCATGACAACGTGTAGGCATATTGACTGCTTGGTGTAAGTTGAAATCTAATATGATATGGAAGATGGTATTAGAATGGGCAAAATGATGAGCCGTAGTTTACCAGTTGGTATCTGGTAGATTGAAATCCCCAAGAAGGATTACTCAGCCTTGTCTAAGATGATAATGCATGTAATGGTGTAATGAAAGCGTGGTGTCAGTATCAGCATAGGGACTTCAATAGACACAACCAGCACCTATTGGATAGCAACTGAATCAAAGCTTGCAGAACATTACCTATACTCCTTCAACATTGGGTAGAGGCGTAAAACTTGACGTTTTCCTGCATGACTTCATATCCTGCAGACAGATAGACACAGAACTTTATTGAGGTCCTGAAGAATACTACCTCAACAGTGGCTTAGCAACTCTTTCGCGAGTGGGGGGGAGCAAACCAACCTCACTCATAAGTCGGGATATATATACATATATATGAAGAGAGAACTTTTAGATGTGCTCGAACGTTGCTATGAATTCGCATACACAGAGGTAAGGACACGACTCGCCTTCTTAGATAGATACCACGAATTTCAATGGCACCCTTAGCCCAATTTCTGTGTTCAATATGCAATGCTCATCTTATTGACACGCCTCTTTCTCTGATTATGCTTTGGCGGTTAACATCTACATATACCACAATAGTTTGTTCAAATAATTTATCATGGATGTTAGTCGTTGGAATAGAAATGTACCAAGCCTCAACGAGGATACAGCCACGTTAAAGGGGGCTATAGCTGCCAAACACCAAAAGATACATTCGGCAAATCCTCCTTTATCAATGCACAGTAAACATTTAATTACCCCTGTAAAGGTGCATTTTACTTTCGAACTATATGCCGATTCCCATGACGAGGAGATCAACCATGTTTTTTCAACGAATGACTGCTGAGATATTTTCTCATAAGTATTGCACTTCCTTGCATATATTCGGCCTTGTGTGTAATATAATTTGCCTTGTTTGTTACTAGTCCAAACACTGTTTCTGGAGCATGCAATTATTAACAATATTGCTATTGTTATATTACTGTTATGCCATTTTTTAACTTCTGAACCCTTTTTTTTAAAAATGTATAACTTGTGGTGTTAGAGCCATACTACATTGTTTATGCTCACTGTATTTGTATTAACATTTCTTAAAGGGCCCACAGGCACCTGCATAAATATGCCAATACAAACGGTGTAAACAAAATTTTCCTTTGAAAGAACAGAATGTGAGTGATTATAACATTAAAATATCCCTCGTTGCTTCTTTTCGAAATGTGCGTTAGCTGTATATGATTGGTGTAAACAGTCTCTGTCATGCACACAGCACCAGCTTGTTACGCGAGGCAACAAATGACACGAAAATAATCCATTGCGGAATGACCACTTATGCACGAGCAGGTAAATAATAACAGAATAAACAAGTTTCGATACGGCATATTGTTTGCCATTGGTTCTTCAGCATTTAAAACTTTCTGTGCACCACAAAATCACCTGCTTGTTGCATGATGTCACGAAGCCAGAGGGCATCTCTTTCTAAATGTAATTCAAGTAAACTAGCTTCCAGTAACTTAAGCAGCAGCTCGCGAGATAGATCATGAGTATAATAATATATTTCCATTTGCAGCATTACGGTGCTTAGTAGTTCATGCGTATATACATCTCTGCATGAGAAAGAAAGAGGAATAGAGAGAAGTAAGCAGTGCTGCGCGTGTGTGCTTCTTTGCTGTTCGAGATGTATTTTGAGCTGTAAAAGACAATTCAATTTGAGTGAGAATGAACTAGCCCGACTCTTAACTAAGGCTCCATAGTGCTAAAAACCACGGTCTTTCATCTTCTCCCTGGTCCTGTGGGTTGTGTTGTGGGGCAAGCTTAAAAGCTGAGCTTCCTTCTGAGCTCGAGTACACTGCTTTCTTCGTGGCCACTTTGCAAGCTGCCGCTATGACTCCAAGTTGCCATAAGCAAGGCTGATCAGATTCATCAGAGACTAAAGCGTAAACATTTTTTGGTGTTTCGTACAAAAAAGCATAAACATCAAAAACAATTCATCACACCTGATCGGCTCGCAACAGTTTCGACAGAGCAGCGGTGATGATATACTCTTTTTGAAGAAATTTATTTTCCGGAAGCAGCAAATGCTTTGACAGGTCTTTAAGAAGTTCGCTCCATAACTTCAACAAGTCACACCAGAATAAAAGCATCAACAAATGATGTAATATTACAGGGCCTCTGTTCAGCACTTGCCTGCTCTGCAATACTACAGCACAAGACGGTAAGGTTGCATCGGCGATCTGCACCGCAAACAGCCTTCAAGGAAAATCATCACAGAGGAAGGACAAATTTTACTATATTGCAAGATTGCCTCGTTACATTTTCATTTTCCCGTAAGAACATAGCTGAGTAAGTATTGTTGTGACGGAAAACTTCGCCTTCACTGCTAGTTTTCCAGCGTGCAGCCTAGAGTGACCACTGTCAAAAGTGGGGGGGGGGGGCTCAGCACCACTCATATTTCTCAGTGGAGGGGCTCGCACCCCCCCTTGCCTCCCCGGCTGATACGCCCATGTACCTCAAGGAGGTAGAGCAGCGGGCCGGTCCCACATTGGAACGAGTGGGCCGAGCCTCACCACCGCGTCGTGAGCCCTCTGGACAGCTCAAAGTTGATGTGCAAGTTCTGAGCTCCGGAGCGCAGAGCTTCATTCTCGTTTGGTCATGTGCCGAGAATCGCGTGATGAGGGGCACTGCCAGAGCATGTGGTCTAACGTAGATACGGTGCCACAATCAGGGCATGTTTGATCAATGCTTTCAATAAACTGGCTGTGGGAACAAACACTGAGGTACGACCTGGTTTGAAGCATGCGGAGGGTAGGTGCCTGGGCCCTACAAAGTTTCATATGAGGAAGAGGCATGTTTGAATTTATTTGCACTGTTCCACATTTTCAGTCTTACATCACGAACTCTCGAGAAATCTTGGCGAATAGTGAAGTTTGAGCCTTCCAATTTGAAACAATCTTTAGGCACTCTGTTCTTGTCCCTATAATCAATTAGCTTGAGTATAACCGGCCTAACCTCTGCAGCCGGTTTGCCTAATCTGTGAATTCTCTCGAATGTAGATAGGTTCTGTTATTATTGTCACTTATTATTTTGCCAATGACAATGGCATCAGCAGAAACCTGGTCGTCGCTTTTCTCTTTTGGATTACCACGCATAACAAGGTTATTTTTTCTAGAACAATTTTTTTAAATCATCTATTTTCATCTCTAGCGCAGAAATAAGGTTTCCAAATGGTATTTTACACATGCACTGATAACTTATCTTCAAGAGTTCTCTATTACCTGATCTTATCAATCAGGTAATAGAGAAATGCATGGAATACAACCAACCCCTATACAAAGATTTCATAGATTACAACAAGGCGTCTGACTTAGTCGAGACATCAGCAGTAATGCAGGCACTGCAAAATCAGGGCATCTAAGAACGTTACCTAAACATACTGGAAGAAATCTACAGTGGATCCACAAACACCATAGTTTTCCATAAAAAAAGCGACAGAATCCCAATAAAGAAGGGTGAAAGCCAGAGAGACAGGATCTCTGCAATGGTATTATTCACTGCGCATTTACAGGAGGTTTTCAGGGCCTCATTTTGTAAACTCGCCTACGAAACCTACATCCGTAGTAAACTCGAGTATGCTTCTCCAATTTGGTATCCACACCAATCTTATTTGATAGACGCCCTTGAAGCCATTCAATATCACGCGGCTCGTTTTATAACCTCCCAATACAATTTCCGCACAAGTGTTACAACTATAAAATCATCACTCTCTCTCACCTCTCTGGATTTAAGACGAAAAATAGCACGCCTTTGTTTCTTTCACCAACTGTATTTCAATTATTCTTACTTACATGGCTCCCTGCTTCTCCCACCAATTCGAACTTCACGCCGTCTCTTCAATTCTTTGAGTGTTCAAAATTTGAAAGGTTCAACCAACGCTTTTAACGGATATTTTCTCCCGTTAACAATTGAGGATTAGAATCGGCTTTCATATGCAATCACCAACGAACGTAATACTCTGAAGTTTAAAACCTTACTCGAAACTCATTTTACAACCGCACCGTCGTAATTTCTGCGTGCAGCCAGTTGCCTTTCTCTCATTTTTTCGCCACGTTGAATCATGCTATTAGTTGTATAACAAGTTCTGTTATTATTATTGCCTTGAAATTCCAATTCTTGAAGTGTATCCTACTTTATGTTCTTGATCTGTAATTGCCTTTGTGTATCCATGTTCGACCACCCCCCTTATGTAATACCCCGTCAGGGGCCTTTAAGGGAAAATAAATGATGATAATGTATACTGGGAAGAGTTAGAGATAAGAGTTAATGAGAAGTACCTTAGTCACCTGCGATTCTCTGATGACATTGCCTTGATGAGTAACTCAGGGGACGAGTTACAGTTCATGATTACTGAACCGGACACGGAAAGCAGGAAAGTAAGTCTGAAAATTAATATGAACAAAACTAGAGTAATGTGCAACAATCTCGGCAGAGAAGAGCACTTAGTGATACATGTTGAGACACTGGAACTTGTAAAAAAATATGTCTACTCAGGACATGTAATAACTGCGGAGTTGAACCATGAAAGTGAATAACTAGACGAATAAGGATGGGCTGGATCACATTCGGCAAGCATTCTCAAATCATGAACGGTAATCTCCTACTAACCCTCAAGAGCAAGGTATACAGGGTGTCCCACATAACTTGAGCCAAGAATTTAAAAATGAAAGACGCTTCAGACACTTCAGTGGCAAATTGAACCAAGTGCGTACTACTCGCACTAGCCTGTAGGTACTCAGGCTATTTTTTCTTTCTCCCCATACTAATTTATTAGTAATTTTTAATTACCCCTTTTTTAAATTATGGGCTGGCAACCCAAAATATGAACACTGAGATGTAGAACGCTTTTAGAAACCAGTGACTAAATTGTTTCCTGTACAATATGTCTAGCGCTGTTATTTTTTCCGCGTTGTAAAGAAAGACTATAGCAGCACTATAGCAGTGCGCTCGTGGTCCATCACATGGCTTCTTTTTACGTTTCGCAGGCTTTGAAGACGTGCAATAGTTTATCTTGATCATAATATTGGCAATCTGGAGTATTGTCCATATTGGGGTGATTAAAAAGCCCAAATTCTCAGTTAATTATCAATGCATCTTATCTATATCTCTCCGACAGCAGATTGCAAGTCTCCCCGATGTTTCCGATTTCCTCGCAAACATTTTACCTCCTTGCGTCCGAACGAATCGCCAGCCAAGTTCTCGTTTCTTAGCCACAGCAGCACCAAGCAACTGTTTACCCTGGCGGGTTAAGTTTTCATTGACAAATATTGGTGCTGATGTCTTGAAACCGATTTCCTTATCCAAGGGCCTTACTTTTCTGGCTTTTATGAAAACGGCATTTCGTTTGTCACGTTGCACAAAACGTACGACAATGCTTCTAGTTCATTCCTTAGATATGTCCACCTTATGACAGGTGTCGATGTCGGATTTCGTGATTGGTTCCTGGATTGCGGAACATACTTTTTTCACAATGCCAAGTGGCTCTCCTTCATTTGGCACACCTTCAATTTCAGGGTCGTTGGCACGGGTATATTTTTTTTTAGCTCTTCCACTTTTGTTTGTAGTCGTCGATTTTCTGTCACAAGTTGCTTGTTTGCCTTCCGTGTTGTTGCTAGTTCCTCGCGCAAAGCCTTCAGTTCTTGTGAGAGCAAATTGACATTTGTCACAAGTCTCACTACAGTGATCAATGCTCTGTTTGAAACCATGGAGCTCAGCCCCAATTTCTCTCTTAAAATCCTCAAACACTTTGCTAATATCCTTCGTCATGTAAGGGAACACAGGCACAGTAGTTTGGCAGCAGTGCGAAAATCAGCTCTAATAGTTATAACACAAGTAAAACAACGCTCACCTGCGGGAAAAAATATACAGTATCAGGCGATCTGAAGTTGTTGCGCACTGCCCCCAAACTGGAACATCACCGGGCGGGTGGTCCGTTTATATATGAAGGGTCCAGAAGCCCTGTGACATGCGCACGCGCAGTGTCCTTGCCTCCGCCACCAGCAGCTGATGCAGCCGGCGACTGACGGATCCGACCGTTTTTTCGCTTCAAAATGCAGTTTCGTGGTGAACATTTCAGTCAAGCTACGTGAAAAAATACACAGTATCAGGTGATGTGAAGTTGTTGTGCACTGCTGCCAAACTTATAATTTGATTATATTCATCATCAAATTATCAGGTTAACGCAATAACAGACTACTTTTGGCGCGCAGAAAACGTGGCCACTTTGTTATGTCACACTTGAACTTACAATGACGACAAAGTGACATAATGTGCACATTGTGGCAGAGACGTGCCATGGAAAGTAACGCGTATTCTCACTTAAACCAGCAGGTCGCCTTACATTTGTGTGTGTGATGTTCAGTGCTTATCTGTTTCTTTTAGGTTGTTCACAAGAAAACTGCCACATACCTTTTTCTTTCTTTGTACAGCACAAAACTCAAGGGCAACCACCTCGTAAAGATGCAAAACAGTTTTTTGCACCCAAATATAGTTTTACGAAGAAACATATAAACACTATGCATTGCACGCAATAAATAACGTGTATAGCTGAATACTTCAGATAACTTGGCATTTCCCTCTAAAATATTCAGCTTCATAGTGCCTGATTTCCAATTTTCTCCCTTCTTTATTCAGAAGTGATTTCGATCTATTAGAACAGAACAGCTGTGTTTCCTGCACACAAGTCACGGTCAGTTTTGATATTGGCCTTTTATTTTATAAGGAAGACCATTAAGGCTCAACGGAATGAAACTTGATTATACAAATTTCCCAGTTTTGCAAAGAAATCTTTATTTTCTGGCAGGCACTTATAAGGTTCAGTGTTGTTGATTGATTGTTATGTGGGTTTTGACATCCCAAAACCACCATATGATCATGAGAGATGCCGTAGTGGAGGGCTCCGGAAATTTCGACCATCTGGGGTTTAACGTGCACCCAAATCTGAGCACAGCATTTCTGCCTCCATTGGAAATGCAGCCGCCGCAGCCGGGATTCGACCCCGCGACCTGCGGGTCAGCAGCCTAGTACCTTAGCCACAGACCACCGCGGCGGGGCATGGGTTCAGTGTTGTTATGAACCCAAAATAATGAGCTACGTTGTCCATTAAACTCGATTAAGAAAGTTTTCACTCAAATAACTGGATAAAAAGCATTGGTTTCCTAATAATTTTCTGAGCGACTAGCTTTTCTACGAATGAACGTGCGCAAACAGTATCGCGTTATACAATGTAGGTGCCCTAGTCATGGCCCTTCGTTTACTTTGATGAGGCTGCACGCTATGTCGATGCATGAAACAATGGGGTCGGAAGTCCGTAGCACTCTTTTAAATTCTGGCAGATTCTGTCTCATCTCTACTTTTTCGTTTGGCATGACCACGTAATCATTGCATTTGTTTGCCACGTCTTCATTTATTAGAAGCTCCTTATAGTTTCATGTGACTGTCATGTGTTTCGTGTGTTTGTATCAGCATTTATAGATACTTTTTCAGTTTCCGAGCTCCTCCTCTCGAGGCAGGCGCGATTTACTTCTAGTGAGTGTGGGGGCGCTGAAGTCTAACTTTGCGCCAAGCAAACAGCTGCTCTCCACAGGCTTCACTGCCACTGCAGTTTCGTGCATTCCGTGACTGTGTTCGGTGGTGCTTTTTTTTCCTGTGTATGCCTTATCGCTTTCTGTACAAGTGACATGCTTGCATGGTCTTCTGGATGCAATTCTACAATTACAGTCACGAAGACACTCATACATCTAAGACGCAGAAAACTTCCTGGTAGTTGACATCGCGGGCACGGTCCTAGCATTGACCACATAAGGACGCACCGAGCACGCGTGCATGTGTGTACGTCTCCCGGGGTTAATTCTACTGTTGCCGCTATTCAATAGGTCTGAGCTACGTGCACCATAGATCAGACCTTCTGGACATCATCCCGACGTGTTTTGTGCCCGGGCACACCAGCAGGTACAGGAAAAGCCACAAGACACGCCACTTCTCTCCACCATCCGACCCACTGTTACTGAAGAAGTGGGGAAGATCCATTCCACGCGTGGACAAAATTTTGGGAAATAAGAGCAAGGTAAACGATGTGATTTTCGAAAAAGTCCTGAAGACATATAAGCATATTATAGATAGAGAACTAAAAATTGACCATGGTGCATGGGCATTGAAAAGTAATGCAGTTCCTTTTGTTTATTTGCAGACCTCCCAGTATAGTTGTCGTGAAACCACAAAAAAAAAAGGGGGGGGGGGGGTACCTGTACCTCAACCAACTGCTGCTGCCTGGCGATCAATCTGCCAGAACATTCCCTGCAATAGGTACCCGCTCTTTGGAGGACTCCACCTTTTCTGAGTGATTGCAAAAAATGTGCTTCATTTCAACCTCTCTGAAAGTAAAGTTAGGCGGTCCCCGAGAGGCGGAAAACCTACGGTAATGCAGAATTCCAAAAATACATCTAATGCATCCTCGCACTGTCATCCACCAGAATATGACCTACGTATGTGGTTTCGGCGAACATAAATTTGCTAAAAGAAGTTACTTTTGATCTACCAGTGCAGTCATTCAAAGATGTAAAGGTAGTCATGTATGTTGTGCTCTTTGCAGCCTTGCCTCGGCTATTTGCCTGTTGGTGCAACGAACGGAGAAAGTGCTGCTAAGAAATATTCATCCCGACTGTGTGGGCATAACCGGTGATGACAGAGGCATGTATGTCTTGCGTCATTTTAGCAACAACCCTGAAACAAAGAACGGCAAAAGCAACCAGGAACAACGTGCAGATTTCAGCCAGCAAATTAAGAAAATGCTTGATCTGTACCACCATCGCTCAAGAATGAAGAAAACTTGAGATACGCTGGCTAAGTCAACAATTGAAGACTGCGCCCCCAGCGACTCTGAATGATCTAGTTTAAAATTTACTTTCTTTAAGTGCAGAAAGTGTCTATTCATAGTACATCCATTATGCAACAAGAAGCAAGATCACCGAATGGGTATAAGTACGAACATATTGGCTCATGCTTTGTTTGCTGCTCACAAGCCCAAAATATTACAGAAAGCTGTTGGAACTTGTGTGAAATTCGAATGCTCGTGACTAGTGTGGGATTGTGGCAAGTAAATGCGCTGTTTTTCTATTTTCACAAAGTTAGCATTTTTTGTTTGAATGATCCAAAGTATTGTCCATTGACAGACACCCCTAAGTCTCAATATACTTCAGAATAAGAAAGTGCACTGCTTTATACCAGCTAAATAAATAAATAGCCTCATTTCAGTGAGATTTTAAATGTGGCTGACACCTTACAGCAAAGGCTTGATTTTAACTTCCTTTAGGGTACGGCCCGTCAAGGTGCTTATTGCTGTGCAAATTTGATGAGCAGAGAGTCGAAGACTCTCAAAAATAGCTTCTAAACAACTAAGCTGGAACCAGAAGAGTCGCAGCTTTTAACGAGGCTTCGTTGAGACCTAGCTAATACAAATGAGCTCCAAATTTAGTATCTATTATCTGGAAGAACAAAAAGTTACAGGGTGACAAAACGGCTCCCAAACAACAAATGCTCGCCTAGCACCACACTTTGGCAAGCTATTATTTTTACCAAGGACCTGGAAAGACACCGCACATGCATCTAGGCCTGATGTTATACTCCTCGTGCCTAAACCAAGAAGTTGCAGTGCGGGGCGCTCAACATGAAATCGTAGTATAAACACTGCATACCGGCTACACCACACCTAGCTGTAGGAGATGACTCGTTTTCTTGGCGCAAAGTTCGACTGCAGCGCTGCGGTGACGGGAACTGCAGCCAGCCGCCTGCTCCTCGAAGGTGAAGTGGGGAGTTCGCAAACTGAAAAAGTATCTATAAACATTGCTTTGTATGGCAATTCATATGCCGACACTCTTGCGACAACTGATGCTACCAGTCATGTGCTCACCTGTAAGCCTGCTTTGAAAGCTGCACTAATCAATCCATCATTTCTTTCTTGGATATATTTGTAATATTAAATCGTAGCAAACTATCACTTGTTTGGAAAAGTTCAAATTAGAGCCAAGAGTAACATTTAGTTGATCATTTACAGCAAAGAAGAGGCACTGATTGCAAAGCACAGATGAGCTGGTGATCATGCGAAAACAAAAAAAAAAACTGCGTACTGGAATGCCACTTCATGCTGGCAATGAAGTAGTGACAGCAAAACAAGGAAATACATCGTTGCACTATGTGCAGCAACACAAAAAGCTTGCAGGCAAGAGCACGGACAATGTATCTGCTTGTTCCCACACATCTCAGTACAGCCTTGCTTTTCTGAGGTACCTAAAGCTGCTGGTAGAAAAAGAATGAGGAACAGCGCAGTGCTCGAGCACATACCCAGTAACCTTTAACAGGAGACACCATGCAAAAGTTTAATTACTACTCAAAAACACCAGCAAAAAAATACATCCTTAACGGCGGTGCCAGTCCATTCTTTAGCAGCTAGAAACTTTTCCCGTTTACTTTTCATTCACTCCAACCGCCCACGACATATACGCTCAGCGTGACAATCACATAGAAGTAGCCGATAAGTTCAAAAGACAGGAGTTCGAAACCCGTCAGTTAACAGAAAACGTTAAAGTAGGAGTGCGACCGCTCAAGCTCAGCAAAGCTCCAACACTGCGGACACTTTCAAGCCAGCAATGTCAAAATTGAGCGAGACAGGAAAAAGTTAGCAGAGAATGAGCGTGTAAGAAGGTCATCCAAGGCAATAAGCTGGCCTAAGCTCGTAAGGTCAGAGGTACGAAACTGTGTGGGTCCTTTTTCTTTCTTTTATTTTAATGAAAATACAGGCTTGTGGAGTCATGTGAAGTTGAGAACTAGTAGGCTGTCAGTGGTATTCTAGAGTGCTAAGAAAGTGGAACAGAACAGCCTACTTGAAGATAGCGCAGCAGCCTAGCATGCAATGATAAAATTCGGTTCCCAATCATATAATTGCTTAAAACGCGTGGTAAAGTATACGTTAAAAAAAGAAAAAAAAAGGTTTAGGGCGACCTCACCGATGACCACCAGCCGGTAATGCACGTCATCACCAGAGCAGCGTTGGCCACACCGTGGCCACTACCTCCCTTATAAAAGTACAAAGTAATCCTTGGTCCTCCGCCCCCAGCAGCTACGAAGCGACTGTACAAGGCTGCAGTCAGACCTGCGACGCAGCAGAGAGTCCCAAGAATGTCCGAGTCCGGACAGGCCCCCATCGGAATCTGAACTCTGCTACGTTCAATGCTAGAACACTGTCTAGTAAGTTCAATGCTAGAACACTGTCTAGTAAGGCTAGTCAAGCTGTGCTATTCGAGAAACTATAGATGTAATGATGTAATAGAGCTCAGCGAAGGTTTGAGGACAAGTGAGGCTTATACAGTGCTGAAGAACAGACCCGTCCTATGCTACCATGGATTAGTTGACAAAAAAGAACTAGGGTGGGGTTTCCTACACAGGAGAATATCACTGGCAACATAGAGGAAGACTATAGCATGAGTGTCACGAATCTATCTCGAGAGCGCTTGTGAAGGGCTGGATTGAGAGAGATACGCGAGTTGGCGGAAACACGGCAAACCCATTTTAATATTAAACAAAACGGCAAACCGTAATCTGATACTCAGAATTCACTCCCAAAAAGAAACATTAACATACACAATAATCGGCTATACAGCGATACCGTAACTAATACCGATCCAAGTTAAGTTCGATCTTTAGCCCTAATCTGTCTCCAGTCAAGATGGCATCTTGGTGGCTACTCTCATACACTCCCGCATTGGTGAAACATTTTTACTGTTCCGATGCCACTTCCGGAACTACGATGAAGTGATACCATTGTCAAAGTCGTCCTGAAGGACGTCGCTGAACGAGCTGCTGATCTTCATTGCCGATGTCCCAGTCTTATTTGTCATGTTTGGCCCGCGTGGTCAAATTCAACTCGTCCATGGCCTCATTGATGATGCCCTCTGATGACTGGTGTGGGCCGCATTCGTTCTGGCTCAAAGTGGAAGAGCTGTAGTCCCATAAGAAACTGCTGTGCGAGATTGCGACAAGTCCGGGCAGCTTCACTCGGGACCTCCAAGGTCGACGGTCACTTCCTGGGCCTCTTACGCAGACTTCCTTGAGAACCAGGCAGCTACTGCTTTCGTCACTGTAGCGACGCTGACCTTCCTGACCTTCGCAGTTCGAAGCTCCACTGCACAATGGTCACTCAACATCCGAAATTTCCCATCACGGCTTGGGCAACCAGCCGTCTTGTCCAATCTCGTACGTGAACGTGGCGTGTATGTGCCTCATCGGGCGTCTTGCGCACGTGCACCACATTCCAGCTTCTCTTACTCATGACATTGAGAGGGTGGCAAGATTCATAATCAAGTTTAACAAAAGGTACAAGATGAAGGTAGTACAGGCCTGTGTGCCTACATTGAATCATGATGATCATTTAGCTGAACGCTTCTATAAAGAGGTAGAGTCACACATTGATAAAGACACAGCACTATACTATTCTTATAGGCGACTTTAATGCCAAAGTAGGCAAGAAACAAGCCGGAGACCATACAATGGGGGAATATGGCATCTGCTCTAGGAATGCCAGAAGAGAGCTATTATATTTGCAAGTTTCTTCAGTGTGCAAAATAGGAAGAAAAAAACAAGGTAGACAAAAAGAGCACATTTTCTGTCTGCCCTGTTCCTTTTTTTCTATGCTCGTACACTGAAAAACTTCCAAATATGACTACACACCAACTAGCCCAAGCTTCCACTCTTGGGAGTTATTAGTATATTTCGCAGAACATAACAATTTAGAGATCTTAAATACCTTCTTCAGAAAACAGGCTAACCAAAAGTGGATGGGGCAAAGTCCTAATGGCAAAACTATAAATGAAATATACTACATTTTGTGTGCACACCCAGGCTTTGTACAGGATGTAGAAGTAGTTTGCAAGATTCGATGCAGTGACCATAAAATGGTAAGAGCTCGTACTCCTACATTTAAAAAAGCTTGGGCATAAACAGATATGCGAGAAGCCAATTAATGAGCTAGCGGTGAGAGAGAAAGTGCAGGAATTCAGAGTTTCGCTTCAGAATAGATTCGAGGCTCCAAACGAGATAACTGACAATAGCGTTGACACAAGGAATGAGAATCTTACTAGTATCATCAGAGTGTGCAATGGAAGTTGGAGGTACAGTCACTGGATAAGACACTTGCAAACTATCTCAGAAGACAAAAAACTATCATTAAGAGACGACAAACTATGAAAGCCTCAAATACAATGGACAAAATAGAGCTAATAGAGCTTTGGAAGTTTGTAAACAGGCGTAGAGTAGCCGGCATCAGAAGGTATAACATGAAGAGAATCGAGCAGGCTGTTAAAAGCAGCAGAAGCCTAAAAGCTGCGAAGGTTAACTTGTGCATAGGCGAAAATTGGATGTATGCATTGTGGGGTCTGGATATTGGCGAACGAGCACTACGCCACGCTCTTGGAGTGAACGGACACAGCAGACGCGGTCGGTACAAACCAAACAACATACATACATTTATTATACTAATTGAGACGACGATATCGTTCGCCGAATCTATAAATCGATTGTAATTAACCCGCTAAGACATCTGCGCACAATATTACCATACACTCCATGACAAACACAGTAACACGACAAACATACAATAACATCACAAAACACATTAACACACCCAAGGCGGCGGGGCCAACGCTTGACTTACCCCGAGGGCCCCCGGCGTGCAGGCCCGTGGTGCCACGCGCCGAGGACCCACGCTAGAGACAACCGTTCGCCGCAACAGCCACACGCAGAAGAGACTCACTCGACTCTCGCCCGCCACCAAGGCTTGCTTCCACCAGGGGTTACCGCCGGCGCTACCACAGTAACAACCATGAAGATGACAGTGGTGCTCAATGCGAATACAACGCCACCTACCGCCCGATGGTTGTAACCCGAAATGCGAATTTCGAACGAGACACATGTGCCACGCAGTGCAAACAACTTTACAGGGGGTGTCAGCACCCCCACGTTTTTTTAACCTTAATTCAAACCATATTACAGAAAACAATGAATTCAGCTACACAAGCTTTAACAAAAAAAAATGACCTCACATGTTTCTTCATAATGTCCGTGCACCGTGACACCGCGGCCGATCAACACTGCTGCACTGTCCGGCTCGACTTCACCTCAGTACCGGTCCCGCAACAGCAACGTTGCCATCGGCGCAACCAACCGTCACTTGTGGCGACAAGTCTTCCAGTTGCAACCAGCACTTACGAGGGTGCCGGACACCTTTGAAGATATATGAGACATTCGAACCTCGAGATTAAAAAAAAATTTACGCCAAGTCTTCGTTCATTCCGGTGCCTATGAAAAGGCCATACGTTTCAGCCTTTCCTTTTCCAGGGTTTCCTCACTATAGGGCTCAGGTGAATAGCATACAAGTTTTTGAAAAAGTTTCCTGAGGCACCCGTAAGCCTCGGGATACTTTCTTATTTTTTTCAATATTTTTTTTCTCTGAGCTTCTTCTCCCGAAGCACAAATGAAAGGCCCAAGTGAAAAAGATGCTGCACTGGGCATTTATGGCCTGTAGGATGCTACAAGTCAAAGTTAAAAGTATCTGCCTGTGTGTGTGTTTTCTGTACACAGAAGCATTGAAGCTGATAGCCGAGTATTCAATGAAAACATAAAGAAACACAAAGCAGCCATTGTACACTTCCCAACTGTGAATTGAATGGTCACTTGAATGGTGTTTAGGCAATCAAGAAGAGTCACACCGGCATAACACACACATGGTCGTCTGCATGCAATACGAAAAACTTCGGTCAAGCCCTCAAAGCTCGTCAAAGTCATATGGCTAATAATTGTTGGGAGTTTAACCACCCAAATATGGGTGAGATTGGCAAATGTCAAAGAGATAGAGGCTCTGATGGTTGTCTCAAAAACTTGCTACTAAATTTGCTAGTTGAAAACTAAGTACGTGTTACTTACATAAAATCTTAGGAGGCAGAGGGTAGAGGTCGCCTTTGACAGAAAAGCATCACTGTCGTCGAGAACAACATTACAGCACAGCACAGTGAAATCCAGCGGCACCAACAAGAACAATGACCTGACATCAAACATGACCGAAACATACTCATTGTCAATGTAACGCCTTTCAGAGTTTAAAAAGGTGTTCGTGCCACATGTGTGTGGATGCTTTCACTGAAGCTGCCAAGTACTCGGAAAGCTTGTGAAGCGGCAAGCAAGTAAGATCCACGATATGTCTGAAGGGCACATTTGGTTCGTGTAACTTGGGTAGACCATACACAGTGAGAGCCATAACGTTATGGCACAGAAGCAGGTAGTAGTTTCATTTTGTCGAGAAGGATGAACTTGGCAAAAAATTTTTGAAGCTCACTTCACACTTTCCTGGTGGGGTCGTGGTGAAACTTCGTGCATGCTGCAGCTTCCTGAAGAAGGCTCAGCATCTTGGATTCGTACTTACCTCAGTCTGAATGAGCGTGGGATTTCCTTTGTTAACTGGCAGGATAATGATGGTCTCATTCTACTAGAGTCTTTCCACTGCTTCCCTTTCTTATGGCCTCAACCCAGAGAACTTGCTTTTCAAAGTCAAGTGTTCACTGTGTCCCCTTTTTTATCCTGTTGTTTGTGCTATTCTAAATAATACGGAACTATACAAACTAGCCTAGCTGTCAACCTTGCTTTTTGTGAAATTTGAAAGAATTCCCACGGCAACAGTGTGGACTTCGCCTCGTTGATAAGGCACATGTACCCTGAGGGTAGCCCTTTACCACTTCTTTCTTTCTTTTCTTAAAAGGGACTCTAAGGAGCAACACAATATTTTGCGTATTTAGTAAAGTGCAATTTCACAACCTCGAAAACACCACTCTTACCATGACGCGATGCTTGGTACGTGAAAATAAAATGCGTGTGGAGATGTTACCTTAATATTTCCTCACTAAACACCATGACGTCATGGATTTCGAAGGTGTCTACTGGGTCCTAGCCATAAAAATGAAGCACATTGTCATATGTGCATGCCATAGACATAGCATACAAAGTTTCAGAATATTCCATCGAGTCAATATGGTAAAAATATAAAAAATACACTTTTAAACTTTTGACAATTTCAAAATGGAACTTCAGCAACAATTTTCTTTGCTA